AAGGAAAACTTCCTGGAGGAGGTGGCTCTGAGCCAACCTTGCAAACTCCAGGAGTTGGCCGGGACGCAGGGTGTCTGTGAGTGGAAAGGGTAGTGTGTGTGTGTGTGCACACGCATGTGTGTGCCCCAGGCTTGGAGGTAGGAGGAGGCATGGGGCCCTGGAGGAGCTCAGGCATGAGGGAGGCCAGCCTGAGACCCTGGGCAGGGACTTAACACTTTTACTTCTTGAGTCAGTTGTGTCATGACAATAACAAGTTAAGAGAGAAAGAAGGGATTTCTTCAAGTTTAAAAATGTTGCCTTCTGGTGTGAGGCAGGAAGTGGTTCCTGGCAGCTGTGGGGCGAGGCGGCAGGGGCGGCCAGTGGCCACGGGGCCGGCCTGCGTGGTGAGGACCCTCGGGGTTGGCGCTGCTGGCATCCCTCGGCCTGGGAGGGGCAGGAGAGCTGAGGGGCTCGGCTGTTTCCCCGCCCTTGCCCAAGGAGAGCTGCACACACACTGCTGCCAAAGTCATGCTGAGTGGGGGCAGCCACCCCTTGGCCCCTGGCGGCCCCCATTACCACCCCGCCCCTTCCAGCAGCTGTGCAGAGCCTCCTCACCTGGCTCCACATGCACCCCAAGTGCAGCCCTGCCCCCTGCTCTCCTGGAAGCCTCCTTGATCCCCGCCCTGTGGCTGGGCTGACCCCGAGGGCTGGGATTTCCAGATTGCTCAGCACGCTTGGTTTATTTATTCAGCCTTTACTCCAAGGATGAGGACTGCCTGGACTTTGCAGTCAGGGAGCCTGGGCTGCGACCGTGGCTCTGTGCCTCGGTAAGGCTGTGCCCCCCACAGCCCCACCCGGGCCTCCTTTCTTCCTTCCTCCTCAGGGGAACCCGGATAAGCGGTGGCACCGCAGGACAGGTTAATGGTGGGGAGGGAGGCCACGCTGCCAGCACACACCACAGCAGAGGGTCGCTGTTACCACTGTATGGGGTCAAGGTCCCCGGGCCCCATGTCTGTTCTTCATACCAGCCATGGGTCAAATCCAGTGCCTCTGCTTGTCCTGTCCAGGGCATCATGGAAGCTATTCCTCTGGGGAGAACATTCTCACTATTAATGTGCGGCCTTCAGGAACTAGGAAAGACAGCGTTAGTGTGTTTTTTAAGTTCCATTTAAATCTGTGCCCAATCACATAAATGAGATTAAGGAAATGTCTGTAAGAGCTCCTCGTAAACTCTCAAACACGAATGCCGAAGCTCGTTAAGCGGCATTCATCATTTATTTATTCATTCAGTTATAGGTTGATTCACTCAGTACGTGTCTGTTGAGCCCTTATGGGCCAGACCTGTCCTCGAGCCCAAGACCCACAGTGAGTGAGGTGAGGATGCCGGATCGGGGAGCTCGGGGTGTAGACGGGACACGGAGGCGATGCCCGAGAACCAAGCCAGTAACACGGCTGCCTCCGAGGGTGACAGGTTCTGGGGAGAAAGGAAAAGGAGAGATGTTGTAGGGGTGGCAGGGGGCCCGTTCCGACTGGGGGTGGGTAGCAGGGAAGGCCCCCTTTGGCAGCATGGCAGGGAGGAGGCAGCCAGATGAGGACCTGGAGCTCCCAGAAGCGGGGGTGGCTTGGGCAAAAGCCTGAGGGTGACCCCCCGGGCTAGGCCCGTCCAGGGAAGGGAAGACAGACAGGCAACATTCTGGAAAACGTCTGCGACATGGTAAGGAATTTAGATTTTATTTTGAGAAAGCCATGCAGTCCTGGGGAGGAATGGATGGTGGGCACAGGGCACTTTTAGGGTAGAGGTGCGCTTTGCCATAAGGTGGACATGGGACATGCTCTGGTCCCAGTCCGCGGGCCGTCCTGCTGACAATCCCGAACGTGCCAGCATTGACTTGTCCATTGTGCGAATGCAGGACGGCAGTTATAGGAGAAGCTGTGTGGAGTGTATGGGAACGTTCTGTACATGCTGAGCAACTTTTCTGTAAACTTAAAACCGCTGTAAAACAGAAAAACTTTTTTTTTTTAATTAAAATAATTAAAGCCAAGTCTCTGGAGGACTGTTTAGGTGAGTGTTATGATTCCTCACATTCTAAAAAAACCTACCCGGTATTGTGTGGAAATGGGTTCCGGGGGCCCAGGTAGAAGCCAGAAGTCCACTGGAAGGTGAGGGTGGTAATGGGGCCAGAGGCCCTGGGGGCTGAGTTAGGATGGTGGCCGCGCAGAGGGAGGGACCGACGGATTCAGGGGAGATCAGAGCCGATGGGAAGCACGGTCAGCGGGGTGGAACGTGGAGGGACAGACAGCAGGAGACAAGAGGCACAACAGCTGACATTCCCGGGGGGCTCGCTCTGCCAGGCACCCTCCTGGGACCCTTACAAGCATCACCCCCTTGCTCCTACAGCAGCCCCTGGGGGACAAGTGCAGGTGCCATGACCTTCCGTAGACGAGTCGGCAGCCCACAGGGTCGGCCTCTTCACCCACCCGTGATTAGCATCTGCCCACGGCCTGTCCTGACCCCAGGATTCTGGCTTCAGAGCCCATGTGCCCTCAACTCCTCGGGCCTGGGTCTTCTGTCCTGTGCAAGCGAGTGGATGATGGTGAAACTACCGAGACGTGAAAGCCCGGAAGGACTAGATTTTAGTGGGGGACATCGGGAGTGCAGTTTAATGGTATTAATTTTGCAATAGCTGTCTGACGCCCAGGTGGAGATGTTACGCAGATGACAGGAAAAAAGAATTCAGACTCCAGGGCCAGAGTTGTGCGTTGGGAGCTGTGGATGTGTGGGTGACACGTGGGTGACATGATGGGGCTCACGTGCCGCTCCGCCCCAGCAGCTGTGAGCCCCAGACAGGCATGCTCCTGGTTCTGTGCATTCTGGTCGCTCCACCTGTAAAATGGGCGTGAGGACAGCCTACCTCATGGAGCTGATGAGAGGGCAAACGGAGTACAGCGGGCACGAGAGCCTCTGACACACGGCCTGCGTGCATGTGGCCAGCATTCTTACCGAAAGCAGAGATGTGCATGTACCTGGGGGGGTACACGTGTGAGGCCTCCTGGGTGATCACACGAGGGGATTCTGCTTGGTTTTGATGCTGAGGAACATGAACCTGAGGCTGAATGGAGCCTAGGCTCTCTGACACCACACGTTCGCACAGCCGTTAGCGGGCGCTCCCTGTCCTGCTGTCTCTCTCTGAGATGAGTACACTAAAGCTGAGACGTGACCAAGACCCGTGGGAGGACCTTGGCTGGGCCTGCGAGCAACGAGGTGCCCAGGTCTCGCCATGCCGGCTGCGCCTCCCTCCCTTCTGCAGGCACGCGGGGAGCTGGCCCGTGAGCGTGACTGGGACTCGCCTGCAGGACTGCCTGGAGGGCGAGGGTGGATCATGTCCACCCGGGGATGGACTATAAGGATCTGGCAAGGTTTCCAGTCGTATTTGCAACTAATTCACCTTCTGAGGGCGGGCAACGCTTTCAGCTGGTGATGGAGGCAGGGGCGGGCTCAGGGCTGGTGTGTGAGGGGGGCTGGGGGCCCTCACAGGCCACGGCACGTGGGAAGGAGGATGCTGGCTGCTCCGGGCTGGGGTACCGCACGGCCTCCAGGCTTTCTGCCAGAGTGAGACAGCCCTGGGCCACTGCCTGGCCTGAGCCCCGGCCACACGGCACCCAGAAAGCTGAGAGACTCTGGGGTGTGAGCAGAGCAGGCGGCACTGACCGGGGCCCACGTTTCCCGCCCTTGCCAAGTGCCTCCGCTGCCCTCCAGCCACAGCCCTCAGTGTGGGGCCGTCCCCCATGCCTGCTGGCAGAGGCAGGCTTCTCTCCAGCGCGCCTCCCTGTGACTGTGGCCTGGACACCCCAGCAGGGTCTGGACCTCTGCACGAAATGCCAAGGGCTTCCTACATCACGCCTACACCCTCATTAAAGCCCCCAGGAAGCCCCAAGGCGTGTGGGGTGAGCGCCGGGAACATTCCATTCTTCAGAAGAGAGGGCCATGCACAGGCCCTGGCCAGTGCACTCTCAGCCCACGGAGGCCATGCTCGGGAGAGAAGCGTGCACTGCTCCCCAGGGCAGGGGGGTCAGATGTCACCCGTGGGGGGGAGAGGCACCCGGTCGCATGGCGATGACCCCGACAGGACAGACAGAAGCTCCTTGTCCCTGGCTCTGCGGACCTTACGTCCTTCCTTCTCACACTTGAGCATGCACCACACCACCTGGAAGGCTTGGGAGAACCGGCCGGGGCCCCTCAGAGGCACTCAATCAGCCTGAGAACTGCGGCAGCTTGAGAATTTGCGTTTTTAGCAGAGGCTGCTCGTATCACTGGCCCGGGGCCCCACTGAGAACCTCTGAGCTGCACCAGCTCGTGAGGGACAGTTGGTAATTTTAGGTTCGGCCTGGCTCAGAGAGGCAACGCCATGCTCTGGAAGGAGCCCAGCCTTTGGCATCGGTCGGCTCTTGATTAAACTCCTGGCCGACACCTTGCTGGCTGGGTGACCTGGAGGATGTTGCTGGGCTTCACTGAGCCAGCGATGGGCTAGGACCACAGGTCCCCAGGCCTGGTGCAGGGAGGGTGCTCAGTGAACTTTTGTGCAGTGACTTTTCACCCGTGAAATGGGTGTGATAGTGTTTACTAGACTGACGGCAGGATTGTGGGAGCTGACGTTCATGTCAGGCTCCCTGCAGCCTGCCAGGCACATGTAGGCACGGAGGTGACATGTCCATCACCTTCCTGCCTCCAGCCGCTCCCCAGCTGCCCAAAGAAGGCAGGGGCCAGCTGGTTTAGGCCGGAACCCCTTGCTAGGGCTCTGGGCTGGCCTCCTGGGTGTTCTTTGCCAACCCAGCAGATGGTGGGCCCTCTTCCAAGGCTGGGCTCCCCGGGCTGGCAGCCCCCGTTTGCACCAAGCTTTTTCACGTAGAGAAGTCAGATGGTGCAGGTCGGGAGCCTCTGAGCATACCGTGCCAGCTTGGACGCGGCCGCCCCAAGTCACCTGTCCAGGGCAGGTGGTGAAGGCAGTGTCTGACTCAGAGCATCCAGGCATCTGACTCAGAGACCCGCCTCTGTGGGAGCAGAGAACGTCCAGGTCTCATCCTTTGCCTTTGACGGGGCCCCGTCCCCCGGCTTCCGGGATAAGCGATGCCGTGGTCTGGGCCGGGCAGCTGGAGAGAGGAGTGAGGGAGGAGGCAGCCCCGGGGCTGTGTGCAGGGAGGTAGGTGGGCGCCCAGGTGAGTGACTGTCCCCAGGCGGCCGGTCCCCGGGCGGCGTTAACTGAGGAGGAGGCCGGCCTCTCGGACCTGTGCAGGGGAGGGCCTGGGCTGGGGCTTCATGCCGGTGCGGGCAGCTGTGTGGGGCCAGGGCCGCCGGTGGGAGCCGAGTGCGCTGGGCACAGGGCCAGGCGGCGTGGGGTGTCACCATCCCGGGTCTGCAGCCCCCGGGCCTCTGGCTCTGGGATTTCCCACTTACCAGCCTTGGGCCTGGGGCTGTGGAAGGAGGTGGAAGTCAGGCAGCGGCTACTGCCTCTTCCGCTGCCTGCACGGCTCCTCACCTTGCGTCCCCGGCGCTGACCGGAGACGGGTATTCTCGCCACCTGCCTGCCAGCCGAGGGTCCCAGTGCTGGCGAGCTCGTGCTGGTAGGCGGGCTTGCCTTCTGTGTGGAAGAACATTCCTTGCTCCCCGTGAACACAGGAGCCCCACTCCTGCTGCCCCTGCCCAGGGAACTCCTCCTGGTGCAGGCTGAGCCCCCAAGGGGTGGCACCTTTGTCCCTGGAGCCAAGCCCCAAGCCACCGATGGCCTTCCTCAAGCAGCCTGGGGAGCTCCCTGTGGGTGGCTTCCTTCCCTTCTCTGGGGTCCCCTGGGAGGGCAGCAGGCTCCCCTCTTTTCCTCCTTGCGTCCTCCCTTCGGGCCTGCAGTTAAGTGGCCGTCAGCATTCATGGCCACAGCAGAAGGCATCTCTCTGCTCCGGACAGGACAAGAGCTCCCCAGGTGCAGAGGCCCCTCCCTCAGAGCCCCTGCTGCGCATGTGTGCAGCCCCCCATGATGCTTGTCAACAGTACTGAGCACTGCAGCTGTTTCCCGTGCACTAAAATTTTTGAATGCTTTGTCGTGTTTGAACCTCACCACCGCCCGAGTTAGGTAGTGTGTCCCCCAAACTGAGAGATGAGGTGACTGGACCAGGACCACTCAGCCAGAAGGTGGCACCCTGAAGACCTGAATCCTGGCCTGACTCCAAAATCCATTCTCTTAGCTGCTCTGCGACATACCTTGGCGAACATTTATATTTCCTAAGTACAAAGATGGTCATACCCACAGGTTAAAAGGACCCCAAACTGTTACATTATAATTACCTACAGCAGTTGCGTAGTTCTTTTTATCCATGGGAGCTTTTTGGAATTGAAAGCTTTCACGAAGACCCGTATGCGAACTGTTCAAAGCAACGTTGTTCAGGCAGAAGGCAGGAGCTTGGGACCCGCCCTGGGCCAACCTCCTCCGCCCTCTCTGGGCCCCAGCAGTGGCCCTGGGGCCTGCAGGCAGAGCGGGGAGGGCGCGCTCTGGCATGAAGTGCACTCACTGGCCCGGCAGGGTCCTCATTCCTTAAGGGGCTCCTTGGTTCCCATGATCGCTCGTCAGCCTGAACTGGACATTCGGTCCCTTCCCTCCCTGCTCACACCCACGGCTCCGGGGCCACCAAGAGATTTGGTCTGCTGTGAATACACAGGGTCTTTTAAGACTTTTTGCCTTGTACACATTGTTCTCTGCTTTAAATGCTTCCTCCAGAACCTTGTCTCCTTCCTTCTCCATGTGGAAAGCCCGTCTTTGCTTTTCCAGCCTCAGCTCACGGGCTGAGTTCTCCGTGAAGCCCCATCAGGTCACCTGGGACTGTGCTGCTTGACTCAGACCCTGGTTATTGAACTTCCCACACTAGGAATATCCAGTTATAAAGCTCTCTTCTCCGAACGGGCTGTAAAGGAACCATGTCTTCATCCTTTACATCGTCAGAGCCTGGCGCACATGAATCTCAGAAAATACTTGTTGCGTAAATAAACGAATAACATCAGCATGAGAGCAAACCGCGCTGTAACAGGAGCGCCTTACACACGTGCTGCCCATTCGGGCTGGCAACGAATTTTCATGCGGACGTTTTTTGATACGAAGACCCTAAGCAACATATTCATGTACACGGGAGACAAAGACCCAGTTAGGCAGAATAAACAGAGTCCTAAGAGCTTAGAGTTGGGGTAGGAAGGCAGCTTGAAATCAGGTATTTATTGCACATTCTTTTTTTGGATTCTGACTGAAGTAGGGACGAGTCTATGTCGGACCTGTTGGCTTGGCGAGGTTGCTTAGGGTGTGGCAGGAGCGTGAGGGCTCCTGCCTGAGGGAAGGCGGCACATGTGGGGCTGAGCACAGCCCGTTGAGGGGCAGGTCGCCTGGGAGGGGGGCAGGGCCACTGGGAGCCCCTAGGCTCGCCGCACTCGGAGCTGCTGGAGGAGAGGGTGTGCTTAGGGTGGGAGCAGTTCATGGGGCTGGCGGTGCCTCTGCTCCGTGAGCCAGTTGCTGGGACCACCCAAAGGGGGGTCTCTACAGGGCTAACTTCTGTCTGAGACGTGGCATGCACAGCTGGGCCAGAGATGCTTTTAAGGACAGCCCTGTCCCATGTACTGGAGGTGGTCACCACGAGCATGTTTTTCTAAAGATCCAGAGGCCCCTCACTGCTGGGATGGCTGGCCCTGGGGTGCCCTCCCTGCTGTCCAGGGGCCCTCAACTGGCAAAGTAAAGCTGGGGTCGGCCCAGGCCCCTTCCTCCATCTCCTACCTGCATATGAAGATTAGGGGCAGGGGGTTTTCGAGTCCACCCCCGGCCACAGATCTGGCTAAGCAAGGTCTCTGAGGAGGGTCAGGGAGGTTGAGGCAAATCATGGTGCACATGGACAGGCCCAGTGGCTCAGGGCACGGGAGCTAGAGGGGAATCAAAGCAAATACCCCGTAGGAAACCGCTGCAAGAAGATGGAGAAAATGTCAGGATGGTGGTTTTTGAACATGACCCATAATTGGGTTTAAAAGTGATTCAGTGAGTTGAGACCAACATTTCTTTTTAAAGAAGAAAAGAATAGCCTGTGTCAGAATGCATCAGATTGTTAGCAAAATCATATTTTATGTCATCTTTGCCACGGTTTTACATTGCTGCACCACAGTAAGGGTGGTGTTCCATGAGATGTTTGTTTCAGTTGTGTGTATTTATTTACATACTATAGTATATATTTATACACATGTATATACATATACATCTTGTGTGCATTTATGGGGTACGTATTTGATGTAAAATGTAAATTCTGACTGAAGTTGAGATTTACAAAGTTTCAAAAAACAACGGGTGGGGTTTGCAATGGCAGAGATGTGTAGGAGAGCATTTTAAGCCCCAAATATTTCTCATCTTTTCTTTTAATGCGATGGCCTTCCCCCATCATCCAAGGCAGAGACCCCAGGTCTGTGAGCTGCAGGCTGGCCTCTCCTCCTGTGGGTACCGTCTCTTAAGTGGATCAGAAGAGCCGGAGTGGCAGGAAGGGCTGGGAGGGCGGGCGGGCACTCGAGCCTGGGTGCATTCCCTCTGCCCTCTCCTCGTCCTCACCCTCCTAGGGTGCTCGGGGCAGTTCTGACAGGCGTGCTGGGCCCCAAGCATGCAGAGCAGCTGTGCACGGAGCCCGGCCTGGGGGGGCCGACTGGCACAAAGGGTGGGCTCAACGCTTCCCCTGCTCTGCGCTAACCGTCCAAGGCAGATGATGAAAGTGTGCGTGTGTGTGTTCAAAGGCAGGAACAGAAATGATCTGGGAAGAGATGATACATAATCTCTTACCAAAATGCAAACAAAAGGCAATCATTCTCCACACAGAGCAGCAGCTGGACCACAGAGTCTGAAAACTTCTTTCAGGCCAAAGACTCTGCGATGACCTATAGTTCTTATGTAGCGTTTCTTTGGATGTCCTGGCAGCTCTACTTAGAGATGCCCGGGTACCAATGTAACGGCCCCACGATTCATTCCCAGGAGGGGTCTCGGCTGCTTACCCAGGGGTCTGCTTCGAGTCGCTTCCTTGGCCCAGTCCTACCCAAAGTAGAGCAGACTTTGGGTTTGCCTGTTTCAAATTTGTTTTTTTTGTTTGTTTGTTTTTAGATTGTAATTAAGTGAGGTATGAAATTTATTATTGGTGTATGGAATTGCGACTTTGCATTTTAACCTTTACTATTAGGTTTCACTTTTGATACCCAGTGGTTACAAAGGCACTGCAGTGGGTCAGATTCAGGCGTCTTGGTGGAAGATCGGGCCCTCAGGGTGCCCAGAAGAGCACGTAAGACAGCACGGGGTCTGCAGAGGGGGGCTCTTATTTTGAGGAAGTGTTATCTAAAATGAGATCTGAAGAGTGATGAACATGTACCATAGTCAAGGGTTATAGAGAGCAGGCAAGGCTTGGAGGAATGCCTGTGCCTAGGCCCGGAGGCCAGAGGATGCCCGGGACCCTCAGGAGATCAGAGGGTTTAGTAGTTCAGTCGGAGTTGGAGGAAGGAGCAGAGACGGAGGCCGGGGCGGGTGGCGGGCAGGTGGTGTGGGGCAGCCGACGCTGGGCCACAGGGGAGACCCCTCTAGTCACTGTCCTCAACAGGATTTTGAGAAAGCAAGAGAAAAGATATGGAGCCACATAAGCAAAACAAGTCAGAAGGAAGATGTCTCAACTAAGATACAAGATATAAGGTTATCTATTAAATACATATAAGATATGTAAGATACAAGGTTATTATAAAAGGAAGACTCTCAGATTCAGCTTAAGGAAGAGAAATTAAAAAACCTAAGGAAACAAACTCTCCCTTTCAATCCAACCACATTCCACTTTCAAGAGACACATTTAAACCCAAATCACTTGAAGTTAAGAACAAGGAGATGGGTAAATACCACACAAAGGCAGATTAAAAGGGAGCAAGGAGCAATGTTAACTGTCAGACAGATAAAAATTTAGGCAACTGTTGAATAGATCAAGTACTTCTACCAAATGATAAAAAGAACACACAATAGAGATTTGAAAATCAGAAAATGTTATGCACCCAATAAAGTCACTGAAATACATAAAACAAAACATTTTGGAAACAGTTTAACAAATACAGTGTCAGATTTCAAAGCACACCGCTCCAAGATTTTTCAGGTTAATTAGACAAAATATAAATAGTTTGAGGTTTAGAA